CCACTTTACATGTAATACTGCTCCAACCATAGCTCAGTTAATAGAGCGAAGGATTATAGAAGCATAATTGCGCACAGAGATCCTTAGGTCGCTGGTTTGAATCCGGCTGTTTGGATCTGTTCCTGGCACCTTACGCGCCATCTTTCTAGAGTTGTGATGCTGTAGACGATATTTTTTACCGGCAGTGAAACGTGAAGACAGACATGAAAATTGGTCCGCTTTTTCAAAATCAAATCAACTGGCAGCCTCGAGAATAAAGAAATTGCAAAGCTTCAAAAACAAAGAGAAAGTACGCTTTTCTAGTAATTGATTAGAGCCTGCAGCTTTAGTGAACTTCCAAAGAAACCTCTAGCTGGGTGTCCAGGAATTTTCAGAAGAGAGTGTCACTAAACTGGGCATTAGTTGTATGTTTGTGTAACATAGCATAGTGCGTTTTAGGGTCTTGTAATCTTGGGAAGATATAAGTTATTTGTTGTTTACCAATAATTTGTTATTTTTGTAACACTGCGGCGCTGGTGGCATCTTTTTTTAGCACATTTTCGTCGATGCTTCGTAAAAAATTTTCCTCGGTAGCACGCCTTGTGAGTTCGCGCTTTTCCGTGAGCCGCTTAACTCTGAGGAGGTCCCCGACAATGCCAAAATAAAATATTAATTCAATCATGTATCTGTTAGATTTGATTAGTATCGCAGTGTTTTATTTTGATTCTGATACATGTATTTTTGCACTGGTTTTTTCAGCAGAACTTTTCGGTATTTCTGTTAGATGTTGTTGACTATTTCATTTCTTTATTTGTTTCTTGTTTCTTACGATTTTGGTAAGTAACGGTTCTGATTTGAGCATGTTTTTTTTTGTTTTCTTTGAATGTTGCTGATAATGTAGAGTTTGTTTCCTCAATTTGCGTGGCTTGACTTCTAGTGATTATGTTTTACATGGCTTTTTGGCCATCTTTCTTTGCAGCAATTGTACCTTTCAAGACATAATTTTATGTGGGGTGTGTTTAGTTTTCTTACATGAATCACAGCCATTTATAAATGATGTGATTTTTCCAGATTTGATTTTGTTTTATTCACATAGGTTGTTTTTTCTCAAGTGATTTTCCTCGTTTATTTTTAAACTTAAGGGTCTTCTTTTTCTTAAATTTCTTCTTATTTTATGACTTTTACAGTCAACAACTTGAACATAGGCTATAAATTTGAGATATTTAAGTGTAAAATTCCGGTCTACTGTCAAAAGTTGTAAATTAGGTCATAGACAGCATTTCCTCTTTTAAACAACCAATTTTGTTTGATGTGATGCACAGTAAAAGACATTGCGGCCAAGCTGAAGTGTATGAAATGCTAAGTAGAATTTATCTGGTTTTTAAACGATTTTTTTTTGGAAAATAATTATACAATAAAAAAAATCTTTTCTAGGGATGATAAAGTAATATTTTAAATAACTGTTATTACTAAACTGTAATAAATTATTTATATTTAAAACAGTTATGGAAATATAAAATCAGTCGACTAATTTCCTTATCGACATTTTTGTCACTGATGTCTTTCATGTTGTAACTTTGCATCGGATCTCTCCATTGACGGCTCCAAGCACGTAAGGGGAACAACAAGCTAGCTGGACTGGATAGGTGCAGGGGCTGGTTCCGCAAACTTCGTTCTCTTCTGCAGCTCTGTAATAATCTTTTTACGCGGGGAGAATGACTGAGATTTTGGTAGTTACTCAGTAAGTTAGCAACATTTTTCTGTTACAGAATAACTGCTGCGGACGTTGACAAAAACATTTTTTAACAATGGCTGTATAACTGCTGTATTTATTACAAAAGTTTTCTGTTTACTGCATATCTTTTTTTCGATGAGTGGTTTTGCAATCACGAAAAGTAAGTAATTTTAGTACATTGCGTAAAGCAAAATGGTAACAAGTTGTAGTTTGTTACTAGAGGAAAAAGTATTATTTTATGAGTCGGATAATGAAACTTGAGGAAAGCACAAAGTTTGCTGTAGACAGGTCACTGAAGTTTCAAGCATACCCTTCACATTTACATTCGTTAGTTTCGAAAAAACAAGTTCGAGTACGATTTCGGGTGCCACAAGCGCCACACGTCGCGGAACAGCTAGTCCACGCCTCCCATTGGTCCCATTCTGTGCCTGCGCACAAGCCGGGTGTGGTCTAAATCTTGACAACTGTGAAGTAATGTCAGAAAAGTTTCCAATGCCGATTAATTGTTTAATACACTAATTATTGTATCGTTTAGAAAGAAACAATCTCATATTCTCAAAAAACAGAAATTAGCAACCGTTGAGTTAGACGGAGCAGTGTCTATAACCCTCGTTGTCGAGTCAACTACGGTAGTCACTTCTGTTGCTGAAATTTTTCAAATGTATTATTTTTAACTTTCCTTACAAGCATTGCAGTGCAGGAAATCTGTTTATCCGGCAACGATAAAATTTAGATAAGTCACTGCAACCGCTTGCCGTAGCAATCAAAATTTGTGTATTCAAGCAAAGGTTAAATAGTCAGTTGGAAACACACTGAAATAGGCAAAGATTAAATTAACACCTAAAGTTCATTGCTGATATTAGATAAATTTGATGAGATGTCTGAACTTTCTGACTAATACACTGAAGCGATTCAAAAATGGGAATCTCTCGCTTGACATTATTTATGAAAAATTGGTTTTTTGAAGATGAGAAATTTCAATAGAGACTAAGCATAAATTTTTGCAAAAATCGAATTTTAAATGCTGTGTCAGTTTTAAAAACACTAGAACAGCGCAATTAAAATAACAAAGAGAGCTCTAAAAAGTAAAACTAAAAAACTATAATTTTTTCAAAGCACTAATAATTCATGAATTAGCATTTCTAGGTAGAACGTGATTCTACTATAACTTCTTGCTACAAAAAAGCCTCTTACTACGTCAAAGAAACTTCACTACATTGCAACAGAGGTTTGAAAAACTGGAGCTTCCAAAAAGCGGAAAATTTTGAATTAGGGTAAAGCTGTACAAGTCAAGCTGCGACAGGAAGTGAAATGTGTTGTGACAGTAGAACTCAGTTTTGTCAGGGCTCTTTTATTGACCAGACGCAGAAATGCTGAAGTAACTTGTCTCTTAAAACGGTATAGAACCTTGTTTTACTTTTGTAAGAGGAGCTTTCCGACGATAAATTAATTTGCTTATTTTCTACAAAAAGCAGCAAACACTTAACAACGAACCGCTTGGCTTCGGTATTGCGCAAAATATCTGGGCAACAGTCGCTCCACCGTTTGTATGCCATGTTTCGTCGTCATTGCATGTCACAGTTACGTCAACAGAGCTGTTTCCCACTGCTAGTACTGCCAAAGCATTAGATATAACTGTTACAGCTCCTGTGCCCTGCAAAATAAGTTACTCAATACACGCAAGACTGTAAAATAGTGTATTCTGTTTTATATTTTTGCAAACTATTGAATGATCGTCTTCAAATGGAGCTTTTTTCAACAGATGGCTATCTTTAAGCTTCTGGGTAAAAAACTAAATTATGCGAATAAAACAAATGGCACATGTTCATAAAATTTAGAGCACCTTTTGCATTATAATTTTGACTACCTACCAAATCGTTGTTACAAGTAATGTTAGTTTCAAGACAGCGATTGGCGTTGATACTTGACTGCATTACAACCCGACCATTTTGAAGTTCGTCAGCTACTACCATTGCAACACCAATGTTGGAACATATTGCACATTTTGCTGTAAATGAAGGTGTCTCTTGAAGAAGACTATAAAAATTCACACACCCAAAACTTGTATTTTGTTAAAAAGTCAGGTCAAAATTATTGAACCAAATTGAGCTTAAGAACAGCCACATTTTATCAAAAAAAGAGCAATGTGAATGTAAATAATGTTACATAAGGTTACAAATTTTTTCGCAAATTTAATTTTTATAGAAATGTGCATTGGTCTACTAGAAGTCAAATTTATTCCAAGAAATTAGTCAACGCAGGGTAACACAGCTACCGATGCGAAAACAAGTTTGGCACTTTAAGTAGACTTGTCATTGTTCAAATTTATAAACTTTCTCAGGCAGTTCTATAAATTATCTGTATAATAAAAGAGTGTTAAGCTTTAAAACCAACATTCTCATATGAATGTTTAAAAAGGACCTTTTTAATTTAATATATATCTACAAATCTGCTAAGTCCAAGAGTTTCAAAAATACAGTTTTTTGTCTAGTTGATAATTTTCCAAAATCTTCCCGAAGTTGTTGAAAGAAAAAATTTAATTGGTTCATTAATTTGACATCAGCATCTATAAATAACACAAGCTTGAAAAAGCTTAAGAAATAAAAAAAATAAAGAATAAATATGTAAAAATAAAAAAATATATAAAATAAAAAATATATAATACAAAAACCTGCGACTTGACATAAAATGACCTTCTTATGTAAGTTCTTTTTTATGTAGAACATTTAAAAATTTAAACTACAATACAGCATTTCTTCAAAATTGCGGACACTGCTAAAACACATTGACTTTTTAAACCGACTTGAGCTCTTATAGTGTTTCCCTGTGATAGCACTGTACCCGAGTTCATGCTTAATGCTGTCAACAAAGCGAAATTTGTAACATAATACACAGTTACAATTTAACTGCTACATTTAATTATCTATTTTTAAACTTATAAAATTTAAAAAATGCTAGTTGCATTTTTTGGTATTTCAGTGAAGTTGTAACTTGCCTAAACACAACTCCATTTTGATACCTCTATCGTTACTACGCTCTGCCAATAAAGTTCGGCACTCTTGCACTTTGACGGCCCCGGCGCACTGATTGGTTGATTACGTTTCTGTGAGAAAGTTGAAGAAGAGGACAGTGAAGGGGACAGCGGCAAAGGGAAGGGGCAGTGGCAACGTGGAGGGGAAAACAGCAAAGAGAAAGGGGAGAGCAACAAGGAGCGGCGGCGTAGC